ACTAGGATCTATACTCTCATTCTGACGTAATGGTCAATGAACTTTGTTGTTGTACCATGGCTGTAGCTAGCACAATGGTATTACAAGTTCCCAGCTACGTAACTACTAGGTGCAGTACTACATAATATCATTGTTCCTGCTGCAGCCATGGTATGGCAGCAAAGGCCCTTGATTATTATGCCGGAATGAGTTACACAGAAACACCCTGATATCACCTGGAAAAATTGAGGAAATAGATATAAATGCATGTGTGGGCGTTTGCTTTCAGGCTTTGCATGTATGAATCCATCTGAACCCACTGTGCAATATGTCTTGTGACGCATTGTTAAAAATGCTTTTAAATATAATTGTGCAGCTCTAATGAATCCCAAACGGAATCCCAACGTGTAAGAGTGTAACCTGACTGAGCCCTGGAGCTTGAGGGTTAGCTACTTAAATTTTAGGCAACTGCACAAAGATTTCATTACAGATTTCCACAGAATTTGATTTGTTTGTACATTAATTATTTCCCTTATTTTTTATTTTTTTATTTTGGGTGTTGTCAATGAAAGTGTTTGTGTTTCTGCAGCACAAAAAAGCTTGAGAGAAATTGCAATTTGTGTGTCAGTACAATATTTATCACGGCTGACACAGATTTACTCTGCTGCCATGTAGCATTCAAGTTAATGTTTAAAATAATATAAATACTTAAATAATACACTTTTTAAATAAAAAAATTCTCTGTGTAAATCAATTGCTGGATAAGCTGCAGTCTGACATACCATTCCTACTTAATGACAGCCTTTTATAAGTGGAGAAAAACTTGACCAACAAGTTACATTACTTTCCTGTTGCTAACGCTATATATGACTTAACAAGAGAGCAATGCAACAAGGCTTGGAGTTTTGCCAGTAGAAACTGCTGTCTTTAAAAACAGTTTAAGGCAGACTTTAACAGTTTCTTTTTATGTTTTGTGTTGCTTCACAACAGCCTTTCATTTTGATATTTTGTATTTTATTTTGACAGTTTGAAAACTGAGTGACCTAAAAAATCATTGTTTTAGAAACAAAACATCAAACCACATGAAATCACAATGAACATAGAACTAACGGTATATTCTCACCCATTTATGCTCCTCTCACATTATGAGAGGTCCACTTTTTGTCTGTACCACACTGATCACTGACATTGATTAAACATTTATTGTTTTTATTAAAGTTTTTCAGATATTTTATTAAAGCTGCACGATTTGGGAAAATTAGGTCAATGTTAAGATATGCAATTAAAAATGGTATCGTCAATTTGATGTGCTTTTAAGGAAAATGCACACACAGATGAGTAATAATGCTGAAATGTGTGTTTGTAAAACTAGAAATGGTTTCAAAAGAAATATAATTTTTTTACTAAATAAAATATTTGCATTAATGTAAACTTATTTAAAAACTTTTTTTTTTATTATTTATTTAATATAACAGCAAGATTTTCCTGACATTGTGATTGTAATACGATTAGAAGAACCAGCAAGAGTGCAGGACTCTGCAAGAGTCCTGTACTGTAAGTGTCATGGTCCTGACCTGACACTCTTGTGTGTCTTAATTTGTGTTGGCCATGTGCTCCTCTTGTCTTTCCTCCCCGTTTTCAGCTACCCTGCTCACTTTTTTAGACCTTGTTATCCTGATTGTTTTCACCTGTCTCTCGTGTGCTTTGTTCTAAACATTGTGCTGCATGTTCTTATTTCTTTGCTGGTTTGTTCCATGTGAGCTTGTCTTTGCTTATCTTGTCTCCTAGCCCTGTCTCCTTACATAGTATTTTGTCTTGCCTTTCTTCTAGTTCTCTTAATTATTTATTGTTTGTTGGTTTGTAGCTACTACTTTCTTTTGTTAGTTCCTAGTGTTTACTTAACTTTGTTCCTATCTTTACCTTAATTTTATCCTAAAGCATATTTTTGTTCCATTTTTCTGTCAATCCCAGTCATGTATTAGTAGTTGATTATTAGTTTTTTTTTTAATTGTTTCTCTCTTTAATAGTCTTAGTGTTTAATTTTTTGCAGTTTTATCTGTCGTCAGCCTAGTCGGTCTAGTTTCCTTTCTACTAGGATTTACATTTATTTAATATATTCTTTTAGATTTAGTTAGTTTTATTACTGTCTTAGGGCGTTCTCACATTATGTACAGTTGCCGGGCCTTTAACAGGGCCAAAGCATACTCGTCCCCCCTCCCATTTCCCCTGAAGGCCCGCACTCACATTACATTTGGGTCTGGGCACGCTTACGTCATCAATGATGCTCTGTTCATTAAGTGCTCAGCTCTGCCCAAGTGGCTTTGCAGTGAGCACCACTTGCTCTCGCACAGCACAGTGGAGATTTCTTTAGTTATATTGTTTTAGTCGTTTAATATCCAGTAACACGCAGTAAAATATTTTCCTGAACAAATCCGCCACATGACGCTCATAAACAATCATAAAGTCCAGGTGCTGCAGGAATTAGGAGGTTTGCTGAAGGCGCAGCTGTCGCGCAGTTAGGGGTTTGCATCTTTAATAATCTACAACAGTTTGCGTTTATTGAACAGTAAGAATGATCAATTAATCCATATGAAACAGTCTCTTAAAAGTCACGTCTTGCTTTCAGTGTCAAGCTTAAGCGCATTTTGCACTCACACACAAGCGTACCGCGCCAAAGCCCAAGTGAACCGTGCTCACCGTGCACACCTCTTCCAACCAGGCCAGGGCTGGCCAATTAAACTGTGCCTGAGCCCAATTCAGAGCAGTCGGATTCAGAGCACTCACACTTCTCAAACGATCCGGGAAACTGGCCTGGGCACGGTTTGGATAGCATAGTGTAAGTAGGCCCTTATACTTTTTCCTGTCCTATTCCATGTCCTAACTTCCCTGGCCTGCCAGTCTGTAGTTTACGTGGCTTACTTCCAGTACCTATCTCTGGTTTTGACCACTGTTGCCCCTACTCCTTGATGGCTGTATATTCTGATGCCATCTTGCTCCTGCCACTGGCTTCCCAGTGTTATTGCCCCTACTGTTTGGATATTGCCATCCCCTTGTCTGTCTACTTGTGCTTAATCTCATCAATAAACACATTTTTGTTTATTGCTGCAACTGAGTCCACTATCTTGCAACCGTGACAGTAAGGCCGTACTCACACTAGGTACAATTGCCTCGAACCGGGCCAAAGCACGCTTGTTCCCCCTCCCGTCTCCCCCGACGGCCCGCGCTCACACCATATCGGGCCTCGGCACGCTTACGTCATCGCTGCTGCGCTGTTCAGAAGCGCTCTCTATGGCAAGCCTTTTTAGCATTTAAATCTTTGTTCTGACTCCATAAATATATTTAGAGATATCTCTAATTATATTTTGACTAGTCATAATTATAATTCGACTAGTCAGAATAACAATTAGAGATATCTGCAATTGCAATTGTACTAGTATGAAATCAGATTGGAGATATCTGCAGATATATTATGACTAGTCATATTCCTCCATTGACTTCCATTGAAAAATATTTGCAGATATCTCTAAATGAGTTTTGACTAGTCACAATTGTAATTAGAGATATCTCTAACTGAGTTTTTACTAGTCATAATACATTTGGAGATGTCTTTAATTCATCATATTTAGAGATATTTACATATATATTTGAAGATATCTCTAATTAATTTACTAATAGTCGAATTACAGTTGTAGATATCTTGAATTGGATTTTTGACGAGTCAAAACTCAGAGATATCTGCAAATATTTTTTCAATGGAAGTCAATAGAGGAATATGACTAGTCATAATATATTTGCAGATATCTCCAATCTGATTTCGTACTAGTACAATTGTAATTGCAGATATCTCTAATTGTCATTCTGACTAGTCGAATTATAATTATGACTAGTCAAAATATAATTAGAGATATCTCTAATGGATAGTCAGAACAAGGTTTAAATGCTAAAACGGCTTGCCATACGCTCTCACCCAGTAGCACAGTGGAGATTTCTCTAGTTATATCGTTTCAGTCGTTTGATAAGCCGTCAAATATTTCGCCAAACAGTCCTTAGGGATGCGGGGACACGCAGTCAGATATTTCGCCGAACAGATCCGCCACTTTTGGCGCTCATAAACGATCATAAAGCACTCGTGTTGCAGGAATGAGGAGGTCTGCTGAAGGCGCACAGCTGTCGTGCTGTGAGGAGTTTGCGTCTTTAATAAACTACGGCAGTTTGCAATCACTGAACAGTAAGAATGATTAATAAATCCATATGAAACAGCCCCTTAAAAGTCACGTCTTGCTTTCGGTTTGGGGCTTTGGCGTGTTTTGCGCTCACACACAAGCGTACCGCACCAAAGCCCAAGTGATCCGCGCTCAGGCACACCTCTTCCAACCGGGCCAGGGCCGGCCAAGTGAACCGTGCTTGAGCCCGATTCAGCGCACTCACACTTCTCAAACGATCCGGGAAACGGGCCTGGGCACGGTACGGATGGCATAGTGTGAGTAGGCCCTATGATGCGATGAAGACCACAACTCCCATGATTTCACACTCAGTCATGACATCATCAAACTACGCATTTGTTTGTTGTGAATACACGCCATCTAGAGACAAAAATTATATACAGCGCAGTTAAACTTTACAGGTGAAATACATGTGTTCAGGAATTTGGGATGAAATTGAAAATGTTCCCAATGCAAGTTCTTGAAAGATTATGTGCATTTTAGTTCAGTTGCATTTACATTGATTAAACTCTGATGTGATATGATGGGGTGACCTGTGCCTCGACCCCCACAAACTGATAGGTGTGAACTAAATGACCCTTTTACAATCTCAATGGGTATTAGCAAAACAACAGCTGAAACATCTGAAGAGGGTCCTGCTGAGCCTCGTAAACAGAATGGTTTGTTTGATGCTAATATAAAGTACTGTCTCACAGACAGTACTTTGAGTTAAGTTACTTGAAGACCGACGGGTTAACATCACTGCTGAGGAACTGCACTATTGATTGTCTTCAATAAAGTCTTCTCTCTGTAAGAACTTTGGTCAGCTTACTTATTTTATGTATTAGAGTAATCTAATACATTGGCGAGCCACCCAAGAACGGTTAAGCCAAATACAGCAAAATCTAACAATTTGGCGAAGCCAGCCAGGAGAGACTGAAAAGAGGAAAACTCATCAACTGCAACAAGAAATGAACTGAAGAATCTTGGAGAATCTACAGTTAAAGCTGAAGATAAACGGATTTTGTTTGTGGACGAGTCCTGGATCTACATATTGTATCTGTGGACACACTTTATTTTAATCAACTGGATCTCATCTCAAAGATCCTAGTTTGGTGAGTGAAACTTATCAGCTCTCTTAAAGAACCCTTAAAAGAAACAACTTTTATAAGTAACCATTAAAGTAAGCAGATCGACCTGTATATGTAGTGCAGTAATAAACTACAGTGATAGTATTGCTGAAATTTCAGGCTTTTTCTCGATATTTGCAGAAATTGTTAAAGAAACAATTTGGTCCATTTATCAAAAGATTTTGAAAGAGCAGTGGAAATTTTAGGCTTAGTCCATTCTCAGGGTACTTGTAGGAATTATTTAAACAATTTGGTCCTTTCTCATGGAGATTGTAGGAATTGTTGAAAATAATTTGGTCCATTTCCCCAGGGGACTGTAGGAGCCGTAAAATAGTTTGGGACTGATGTTGCTGCAAGAATTAGGAATTTTTGACTGGGTGCTAATTCAGTAGCCACTATTTTAATTTTGAAGGTAACAGAGCCTTCTGTGATAGAAATCTTAAAACATTGTAGGTTTGGTTCGTTTTCTAGAGTTTGCATGAACTGTTAAATAATCATTCTGGTCCAATCACTAAGATTATGCAGAAGCAGAGCTTGGTCCATTCTCAGCTGTGATTGTAGAGATTGAAAAATAACAGTTTAGCTTATTTTTCCAAAGATGGTTATGAGCCATATAAAGCAAACATAAATAGTTTGCGACTGATATTGCTGCGAGAATTAGGAATTCTTGACTGTGGGCTAATTCAGTAGCCAGTATTGGAATTTTGAAAATTCTAACTGTGTTAAAATATGATGGCATGAAACTGTAAGCTGTTTGCCTTAGGTTTAAGGATACAGTAAGATTTAAGTACATTGTATTAGGGACAAATCCTAAAGAAAGTTACTTAGCCTTCTAAGATAATGCTCAGAAAGAATTGTTATTAGACAGAAGCTTTCAGACAATTTTAGGCTTGATTCTTGCTTTGAAGATTGTAGAAACTGTGAAAAAATAATTCTGGTCAAATCACTAAGAATGCAGAAGCAAAGCTTGACACATTCTCTGTTGGGATTGTAGAGATTGTAAAAGTAATAGTTTAATACATTTGTTCAAAGATTGTTAGAAGCCAAATAAGATTTGGGACTGAAAGAACGAAAGTGCTAATTTAATAGCCACTATTTTAGCTTTGAAACAAATGTTGAATCTGTCTATGTATTTGTAATGGTTTAACAGACTGCTGTGAATTTAAATTGGAATAAGCACCTTTGATAGCTCTAACACCTTTTGTTCTGTTTCACACCTCTGAGGGCACTGTCCTGTACTTCCCATGGCTGAGTCTGCAAGAAACTATGCTAATGGAGCTACCCTGAGAACAACAACAGAAAAGCATGGAACAGAACCTCCATGTGTTACCATTGATCAGATGTTGGAAAATCTGAATAAATATTTGGACAAAAGGCTGGGACTGAGGAAGTGTCGTGATGATGTATGCAAGAAGCACAGCATCAAGCACTCACAGAGTGGATTATGGGCATTGCCGGACATTAAAAGGGCTTATGGAAAGACACAGCGCTTATGCACAACCACCAAGAAGGATGGATTGTCTGTGATTTTGGTTAAGCAAATTCTTCAACATGAGCATAAGTGTGAGATTGACAGATTGGAACGTGAGAACAAAGCGGAGAAAGCTAAAGTTCGAGCACTGGCTGAACAATTGCAAAACTTAAAGAAGGATAAAGAAAGACTGGAAAAGGAAAACAACAAACTATTGACTTTGATCTCTAAACAGCTGGAATCAAGATCTTCAAGCAGCTTTGTTGACAGTGAGGCTGATCTTTCCATCAACACCTGTGTTCATGACCCAGTGAACTCAAAGATTAGATTAGCTCCTGTGATTGTCAAACACAGAAGGACTAACGTTGAAATTGACAATGAGGAGGGCTATGAAGACAATGGAGAGAGACGAACTCGCACTGTGACAAAAGTGGTAAAGAAGTATGTTCCATACAGGACATACCATCCAGCTACTCCAGAGCAAGTTGACAAATGGTCAAAAGAGCTGCCAGATGTATACAAACAACCACGAAAGGTTTGGCAGTTTCTTCAACGACTGCAGAAAATCTACATTTTACATCCACTAGACGGTGTGATGATTCTTAATGTCACCCTAAGGCCCCGTTTACACTAATGCGTTTTAGTTTGAAAACGCATAAGTTTTGCTACGGTTACGCCAACCGTCCACACTACGCCGGAGTTCTCGAGCGCCGAAAACGGAGCGTTTCGAAAACGCTGGAGAGGCCGTTTTCATTCTAATACGCTGCTGCTCCGTCTCAGTGTGGATGATGGAAAACGGAGACATCTGAAAACGGAGGCGGGGCTGCAGACGTTCGCCTCTCTGATTGGGGCTTTTCCTGAATATTAAGTAGCCTAACACACAGTTCAGTCCTGAATCTTCTCCGTGTAAGTTCAGACTTCGCAAGTTTGATCAAGGCTGCAGTCTCTTCTTCTCAGTTTGATATGGAAAAGCAGACTATACCGAGGACACGGGTAAATCTTCAAAGGGAACAATGTACTTTATAACTTCATTCACATCACCTTGGCTTCGTTGTTTCACTTTCTCAACAATAAAATGTAAACATGATTTAAGGAACTGCCTATTTTCATTTTAATATTAGCAACTTAGACAGCAGACATGTTGAGGCGCCGTGCTGCATATATGAGCGTCATCTTCACTGTCTGGATATTTATAACAAAACGGAGCCGATAACAACTGCCTCCTTTCAATTTCAGTGAAAATACAAAACATACCCTCTCTTTAGCTGAGTATCAGTTTTAAGAATCGATAATGGCCATTTTAAAAGTATAACATACAATAAGTTTATACATTATAGGAAATAAAGGCAAGCGATAAGTAAATATACAGAATGTACGTGGTTTCATTAATCATTAACTTATCTTTGCGCTCAGCCAAAACACGTTACCTGAGAACAAGTAATAGATTCCAATGCCCAAAGTCAGGGAATATGTCGTTAGATAAAGACAACAAGATGAATGAAATATCCCGTTTAATAAATATAGTGAGATTAGATCCAGCGGGAGATGCTTGATGAGAAGTCCGACCAGCAGAGCTCTCATCTGGGTAGATGGGCTGCAGCGCTTGCCCGAGAGCGTCTGTGTGGTCACGTGATGTGCGTTTTCAGCGTTTTGGTGTGGACGGAGAGCAGTTCAGAAACGCTGGGTAAAACGCGAGTGTGGACGCGGATCGTTTTCATTCTAAAACGCCGTTTTAAAACTAAAACTTACTAGTGTAAACGGGGCCTAAGAGACAGTGACCAAAAGAGACTCACAGAAAGTGTTGAAAGAAGGATTGGTGAATCACAAGAAAACATAGAGGATGGATGGGAAGCCATAAAAAACTTCTTGTTTGAACTGAAACCTGCAGAGGTCAATTGGGCAAGAATTACCTCATGCATGCAGAAAACTGGAGAAAGTGTTGCAGAGTTTGAAGAACGCTTCAGACAAATATGGACGGAACATTCTGGTCTGAATACAAGTGAAGATCTTGACAAAGACACTGGAATTCCCCTGAAAACAGCATTTGTCAATGGACTCAATCCTGAGATTTCTAAAGATCTTAAAATCAGGTATGATGACTGGGACAGCACTGTAACAACTTTCATCCAGATTGTTGAATGGTCAGCTAAACTGGAGAGAGCACAAGATGTCAGACTCAGATCTTTGCAATCGGAAAGTTTGTTTTACAAGAACAGAAGAATTGAGGATGAGCAAAAAGAACGTGAGTATATGGGATACTCAAAACTACGAACTAAAGGAAGATGCAGAAATTGCAATGAAGAAGGACACTGGGCCCGTGAGTGCAAGCTCAGTTTAAAACATCAAAGCAAGGATGATGACCACCTGTTCAAGCAGTTTCAGCAGCTAACAATACAACAAAAACAGACTCTGCTAAATGCTGTACAGCCACAAGGAAACTGAAGAACCTCTCTCTGCAGCACCAGCTAGTGACGTCTTTTCCAGAAGCTGATGAACTGAATGTGTATGCAAACAGTAATATAAAAGCTGACACAGAAGTCTCAACAGATGAAGACAAGTTTGATGTCCTAGTAGATGGTGTTGCCAAACAAGCCGTAAAGGAGAGAGGTGAACATACAGCGGCATTAAGACAGCTTCAGCAAGACCACCGATCAGTCTTAGACAGAAAGCAGACTGCAAATGAAAACTCAACAAAAGAAATGCTGATGGACGATGCAAAAGAACTGCGTGATGGCAACCAATGCAGTATGGATGGAAACAGACTATGCCCTTTTGAACATGCCCCAAGCCAGCCCATGTCCACTGAAAACCTGACATCTGACAGCCTTGTCCAAAATAAGGCAAGACGCAGCCTGGCCGTACATAAGGACATTAATCAAGTTTTGTCACCTCTGAAGAGGGGCCATAGTTTAGAGCCCAGAAAATGGGTAAAGATGCAACAACCTCAGATATTACCATTAAAATCTAGGTGTGAGAGCTCACATGAGAAGGTTTTAGTATCTGATTCAATAAATAAAGTTCAGGGACTTGATGAATGGATCAACGTGAGTTTGCCTAGAGACGAGGGATAGATGACAGTAGTGTTTTTCAGAGTCCAGATATGGCGGGACTAGAGTTTTTAGGCTCTAGCTTGTCGCCTGAGGATGAAGACATAAACCACCACTGATAAACACTGTAGTGTCCTGTCAATATTAAATAGGGACAGTTTCTATAGTTTCTATAGGCAGTTTGACAATTTCTCTGAAATCTTTTTCTGGGCAAGATACGTTTCCCTTTTCCCTTTTGTGTGATTGCAGGTGTTCCAGAGGATGACCAGAGACACACAACACTAGACACCTAGATGAACAAACCTGAACATCCACAGAACACAACCACATCCGCTACTTCCACAACATCACAACTTCAAATAGAAATGGACTCTGGCATTTGAGGAAATGCAAGCTTCACCATGACTTCTTATTCTGTCACTTTAAGTTATATAGCCTGTATTGCAGATTGCTGTATACATGATTAACTTGTTTTATGATCAAATATGATCAGAGGAGGGATTGAAAGATTATGTGCATTTTAGTTCAGTTGCATTTACATTGATTAAACTCTGATGTGATATGATGGGGTGACCTGTGCCTCGACCCCCACAAACTGATAGGTGTGAACTAAATGACCCTTTTACAATCTCAATGGGTATTAGCAAAACAACAGCTGAAACATCTGAAGAGGGTCCTGCTGAGCCTCGTAAACAGAATGGTTTGTTTGATGCTAATATAAAGTACTGTCTCACAGACAGTACTTTGAGTTAAGTTACTTGAAGACCGACGGGTTAACATCACTGCTGAGGAACTGCACTATTGATTGTCTTCAATAAAGTCTTCTCTCCGTAAGAACTTTGGTCAGCTTACTTATTTTATGTATTAGAGTAATCTAATACATTGGCGAGCCACCCAAGAACGGTTAAGCCAAATACAGCAAAATCTAACATTCTGCTTGTGTTCAAGTTGTTCTGTTAATCTACTAATCTGACGAAATGAGAAGCTGCTTGTTTCTGTGAACTGTTCTTTATACACTTCACTTCAATAAAAAGTTGACAACCTGAATATTACCTTTACTTAACCTTATCCAAAGTTATGCTATAATACATATAGTTTATTGCTTTTTTGGAGTAGAATTATTTCATAGATGTTTGTTTTTATATATCTGTTATCTGTTAATTGTCACTGAGACTCCACTAATGCCATTATTTCAGAAGTGCAAGGAGCAGGGGCCTCATGTACGAAGACTTGCGTTGAAATCATACTAAAACATTGTGTACGGACAAAGTTGTAAATGTGTGTACGCAGTAAAAAAATCAGATGTATACAACACTGCGTATGCCGAATCCCACGCATATTCTCTTTGTACATCCGAATTAACGTAAAACTGAGCGCACATGCACCCTTCCCTGCCTCCTCCCCTGTATGAATATGCTAATGATTCTACTTTGGCAAAATCAAACGAAAAAGCAATGACAAAAGCAAACAAGACGAGAAACTTTGAACAGAATGTGATTTGGAGGTGCTCTATCGGAGGTAGACCAGAGAAAAACGGTGTTATTTGCAAATTTGTCGTTGGAATGAACTAGTTGAATGATTTCCCCCCGTTTGACAATGTCATTCCTGAAACCGGTTTAAATCCAGCGTCCAAACTCATTCTTCCTTTTCCCCAACTACATATCAGATTTTACCTACTCTTCAACACGAGGAAGACAAGTAGGAATCATTAATAAGTGTGTGTATTATGTTAAGCGCATTTGAGCATCATAGTTTATTTGCACATTTATTGAATGGAAATGTTTCTGATTCATGTATGCAAATTCATCTTTAGATGGCGCCTTTATAGCAATGTGCGTGCAGTCGATCGCTCCGATTACATTGGGAAAACCGGCGATCGCTGCAAGTTGTGCTTTAATGTTTGGCTGGTCAACTGCATGGTATGGAAAACTTATATACCTGCTACACATGCGGATGATCCCGTCTCATACAGCTGCTATTGCACGGCTCAAAGATACTTTGTAGTGTGCAACTACACATAATTACCTCTAGGAGTTGCCAATGGAAATAAAACAAACACACACAAGAAATGCAAGTACGCCAGGCATAAAGTTGGCGTGGACCAGCGCACATTGTCACGTTAATTTCATTGTAAGTAAATCCAAATGTGAACGTGAAACCTGGCCAACGCAAAGTTTTAGTGCGTACGCAGCATTGATACATGAGGCCCAGGGTGTGTGATCTGAGATGCTGTCACTGCCACATGTTCTTACCTGCATTCTCTTTGGGTTTAAGACCCTCCTGACCCTTGGGCAGGAAGCCACCGTGAGCCCAGTCGAGCATGGGCTTTACCTGTTCTTCAAGACTGTCTGCCTCAGATGGAGGAAAAGTCTTCTCTGCACGTAAACTAGCCACCTGAGGACACACAGGAAGCACGAGAACAGTCCGTCAGAGTAACTTTAAGAAAACAGAAACCATTTATGAAACAAATGTCTCAGATGGAACAAAGCCAACTATGTACTGTATCTAAAATAACACACAATCAGTAAGTTTATCCTCTCAGTGGTAATGGAGACAAATCGCAGATATTAATCATGCTGTATAGAGAGAGAGAGGGGGGGGGGGATATCAACAGAGAATGAAGAAGGGAGAAAGTAAAGAACAACCAGTCCTGTCCTTCTGGTGCGTGTCTGAACTTGGATGCTTTTGTTGAGTTTGTTAGGAGCTACGATTCACAGAGAGATAATTAAGGAAGCTCAGGGGAATTCCAGATGAGTGTTTGCCCAGTCACCCACAAACTCACACACAAACACATACGCACTTCAAAACCACAATCACACTTCATGCTCCCAGATTTGCGAAGAGCAGGTGCATATTGGTATACATGTTTTGTATTAAATTACTTAATGGTGTTGTAATTTGATATGTTTTTTGGCTAATTGGGTAAGCATGTGTTGGATGAAAGTGCCATAACACAGTGGTCTCGGCTCTCACCTCAAGGGCCTGGAAGATCGCTCGACGGTAGGAGGCCAGCTTGGTGTAGGATGACTGGTTGAAAAATTTTGGGAAGGCTGTGATAGAGTCGAGTTTGTCAGCAGACACCTGCATGGAACACATGGCAGCAGGGTCAAAACGTAAACAAGGTTCACGGTAAAACAACTCAAAACACACCATGTTTAAGAAATATTGGGTGTTTCTATTTCTATAGTCTGAAGTTAAAACCATTGCAAATTTGAATTCTTTTTCAAATATTTTCAAAGTGCTGATTAACAGAGAAAAAACATTTTTAAACATTACACTAATAAAACACTTTTTTCTTTGCCGTGATGACAAAACATAACATTTTACGTGTTCTTATTACTAGTAAAGCTGCGGTCACACTGGACTTTTTGCCCCAAGGACTTTCATTCATATGCACATGAATGGGCCAGACCGAAAACGTAAGGTTGTGCAAAAGTTTCGCAGTTCGCATCATTGCAAAGTTCAAGCTTGGTGAACTCTGACCTGCGAATTCGCATCAGTTGACTGCGTGAGACCAATCGAGGATCCAAACATGACCTCTATAGATAGAAATTTAAAATATGGACCAATCACTCACCTTTTTAAATGTCTAATCATCTTGTTTAATCCTGCCTCTTTTCGCAGCGCCGTGCTACAGAATTTCACAAGCTCAAACTCTGGTACGATCGCAGCTTAATTCAGCTTACAATGGAATTTAAAAGCTAGACTGGGTAAATTAGTTTAACTAGGCAAGATAATTGGGCCTGTCATTAAACAACAGTGGTTTGCCAATTGAAAATTTTAGAAAATTTTCTAAAAAATGTTGAGCACTTTTTACATTTTTTTATGAATATATATATATATATATATATATATATATATATATATATATATATATATATATATAAATCCCTGCTCTGTTAATCATCACTTAGGAAATATCTGAGAAGATTCCACAGGAGTTCTAATAATTTTGTCTTCAACAATTACCTCACACACATTTTCTTTAGTTCTGCCAAATGTTTTGTTCTACAGTGCATATAATAACAGATATTAGTTTCAATCTAGTAATGTCAAAGGTACCAGCACTTCACAAGGAAGGAACAAATCAAAACATCAATAAAACAATGCAACAATACCAGTTTTTCAACTGCATTAGTATAACAAAATCTATTTGCCATTCAAGTGTTTCACCAAGGTCTTCCGTTGTTTATTTAAGCTTACACTACTGCTGCTGTATGCGTGATTCTGATTGGCTGATGAACATTCCTTGAGCAATTATTTTTATCATCAATTACTCCTTATATGATCAGTCCACTTGTAATACAATTAGCAATAAAATTAGTAATAAAATCTTAGTTTTATTGTCTTTGGATTGGCAAATTTTCTAGGATAATACAAAAACTATAAGCAATTAAGTTTTTAATGGGTAGGATTTCCAGTGATAATAGAGCAGCCTCTACTCGCTGCAAAAAACCTTTTCTTACTCAGATTTTTTGTCTTGTTTGTAGTCAAAATATCTAAAGATTCTTTAATCAAGAAGCATCCTCTAGACGAGCAAAAAAATATTGTCTAGTTTTAAGAATTTATGTGCCAAAATGAAGTCGGTTTTCCCTAAAACAAGCTAAATAATCTGCCAATGAGGTAGGCTAAACACTCTTGTTTTTCATTTTGACAGATTATTTTGCTGGGTGGGTGAACTATCACATTAAATCAGAAATGTCTTAATAAATGATTAATATTTACATAAATATTTAAAGTTTTTTTTAAGTATGTTCAAGCGCTTTTATTTTTTTGCTGTGCTACTGAAATTTTACCACTAATCGTCTTAGTAATAGTACTGCAGGCATTGTATTTTAGTTACCTCTGAGAATTTCCCATCACCAAACCACTGTAGCCAACGCATGCCGTGGGAGGCCTGCCTCCTCCCAGTTGCTCTCCAGGTCACCACCATCCCTGGCCACCACGAGAAGCCCTTTATCTTGCCCCAGACCAACTCTCCAATACCAAAGCCCTTATTATCCTGAGAAGAAAGATGCGCAAATAAGATGCAATTCTACACACTGGAAAATTTTTTATCAGTTTCATGTCCATCACATCCAGTTTAACTAGTTAAAAACTCATGTTTTACACATATAGGCATACTTTACCTGGCAACCAAAACAATAAGGGTGTGAAGTCAGTTTGTGAATTATACATTGACTATTGGTGGTTCAGCTTTGTTCTTCCAGAAGTTTGTATAATACAGATCACATGCTTTAGAGAACCAAATTCATTTTATATTTATTTATAATTCATTATATTTATTTCAAATAAAAATTTTAATGAAAATAGTAAATTAAAAAGATTACAACTTTCAGTCTCATGAGGGATAAATAGTGGATTCTGACCTACAGTAACCATTGTTTTACTGTTTAACTTTCATGTTTAGCGAACATAGTTGTCTATTATACACACCATGAGTCTGATTTTACTTTACTTTTAGAGTAAATGTAGGAACAAACACCTGGCTTGCAAGAAAAGTGCTTTGTGAACACTTTATAGGCTGGGACACACCAAGTCATATGTTCAAATAAAAAAGCAGGCTACCTCAAATCGGTCGCTCCACAGAAAATAAGCATTTGATCAATGTTCCACTGTAATTCTTATATCACAAACCTCTGTCAACATTTTAATAGAGGTCTAGTTAGTTTAAAGATTATGTCTTGAGCGTCTGGTTTTACCTTCGAGCTTGTGTGATTTTATTTCCTATATCACTCACGGTTCATGTGCGTGCGATGTGTGTGATTTAACACAATGTCATGATCACCAGCAATCTAGCCTGTGCAGATCGCTGGTATACACACAGATCACTA